AAAAAAAAAAAAAAAAAAAAAAAAAAAAAAAAAAAAGCTGCAAAGCATGTGAAAAAACACAACTCTTAAGAACTAATATATTTTGTAGGTTTATTTAATCTTTGTTTTTAAAACGTGTTAAATAATGGTAATTTAAAAAACGTACAATGATGAGCAATGTGGCAAAATGTGACTTAATGACATCACCGTTGGTGTTATGACTTTACAGCAAACAAAGTATTCAATTGCTTCGCTGGCTAAATAACATCATTTCAACGAAGTGGTTGGCTTATTAAAAAGTCAAGGCAAGATGTGATGGCACTGGCGAGTCTGTACGTCATTTGTTAAACTTCCAGCGTGAGCGTCGTTTGGAATGTTCATGTATATGATGACTATAGTTGAAGTATCACGCAAACCTACTGGGGTCTTCAAAATGCACGCCTCTTTGGGGCCTTGTTCATTTCCTGAAATAATAATGACTTGTGAATAATTCTAGTTTTCATTTTATTTAAAATGTGCACAGGCCACTTGAGAGGATTCAGAAAAGGAATCTTTAAGATATTGTTTTAAATGCCCATCGTTCATTGCTTGCATGTAAATTAAGCATTTCTACTCAAGGAAATTATATTCGAGTTCACATCCTCTTTCTCTCTCTCTCTCTCTCTCTCTCTCTCTCTCTCTCTGTGTGTGTGTGGGGGGGGGGGTGTGAGGGTGTGTGTTATTTGGCAAATAAAGACATTTGTACTTACACCTCCAATCCAACAGTGAGCAAATCAAACTGCAAAAATTGTAACTGAACAAATCGTACAACAGTATACAAAGAAACAAATTAATATCTCTAACTAACCATTAGGCCTTTGTTCAACCTTCTTCGGTCATGACGTCTAACCATGGGGACCAAATTTACCAAAGCCAACTCCCTGGAACGTGAAAATGTAAGTTTTGTAATCTATGAAGATTATGTTGAGTCTATTTGCAAGTCAACTTTAATAACGATAAATTATTCTCCTAAAAGGTGTCAGTTCATTTATTCTCTTATACCCATTTGTTCCACTTGATATTTTCAGTATGACCTCACGTGCGACAACGCGTGGCAGCTGAGCACGTGCAGTTCCGTTTTCTTTGGTGGTAAACTGGTGGCAATATTGGTGTCAGGGATTCTGTCAGACAGGTAACGTAATACATTGTACATGTTATTCCAAATGGGCATTTCTTCAACTGCCAAGAAAGCACATATTTGAGAAATAAACTACACAGTTTTTCAGGTTTGGACGTAGGCCTATTTTCCTGGGAAGTGTTGTAGTATTGGCAGCCTCTGGGATTGGGTTAGCGTTTTCTCCAAATATGGCGGTTTTCTGTATTCTCAATGTTATTCAAGGTGCCAGTGATTCCAGCATGTACATATCACTTTATACAATGGGTAAGTAAGGGCAGTTATTTCATTTTCTAAACTGTGACACATCTTTGAGCAAACAGACCTCCTATCTCTTATTAAAGTGCAGGCCGTATAACTCACTAGAGTACCCCCGGCCTATGTTGTCCATGATGACCAAAATATGTTTTAAAATGCATTGCTATTTCAAGGTGAAAATCAATTGACAAACTGCATATGAATTTTAAAGTGGATCATGTGCGAATGATTACGTCCCTTTCGCACCACTAGGTATGGAACTGGTGGGAACAAAGTACAGAAAATTAATAGGAATGGGCATGGCAATATCCTTATATTTATTCAGAAATTGGCGCTATCTGGCTTTGGTAGCTTGTTCACCCGCTGTTATTATTATATTCTTCTATTTGTAAGTATGGCTTGGTTGGAACATTTATATCAGTACTTTAGCAATAAATTTAGTTAGACTTATATTATTATTTTAATGCATGATTGAAACGGAAGAATCCAATTCCTGCAGTGAAGCTAAAGTGCATTTTATTTTATTGTTATTACCAATTTATTTATTTATTTATTATTATTTTTTGCACACCAGTGTTTTCAACGAGTCGGTGAGATGGTTGCTATCACGAGGTAGACACAAAGAGGCTAAAAGAATAATCACTAAAGCAGCACGAATAAACAAGATCAAATTAGGAGAAGATACAAGGGAGCGGCCTGTAAAAGAGGGAGATGAGGAAAAACAAACAAAAACACTCTCAGCTGAATCTGTTCAGGATCTGGAAGAGAACTGTTCTGACTTTAAAGCTTGCGTTTTGCAGGTAAGAAATTTGTATGGACATACTGTCCGCTTTTTCTGCGATGTTTATTAGTCAGACAGAAACAGAATGGATATCTTTTAAAAAAAGTCTTTGAAATTGTTTCGACATTTTTAATTGATAACGTTTAAATGCTTTGACAAGTCCACCCACCCGTCTCCCTCTCCTGATCAACTGATCTACTAGTCTATCACTTCCCGCATACATCTCCCCGTGCCTAGGCCCCCTTCCCTGTTGCTCTCACTAATACTAATATGAGTACTAATAGTATTATCACACTTATTATTATTATTATTTCTATGTAATCGTAATTAATTCATTTATTTACTATAAATTATAATAACGCATTATTATTACTTTTACATAATCATAATTAATCCATTTATTTACGATTAATTAAAACGCAGGCGAACACATAATGCTGTGGCAACGTGCCGCCTGCTTTGAATCTATTTATTTTGTATATATATCATTATTGTAGAAATAAATTTGTTTAAAATATCTTTAAAAAGTCAAATGAAATTAATATTAATTGTATTGAATTATCGTAACTGACCTTTATTTTTGGCTGAGCAGTTTTACATTAATATTTTGTATATAATAGTATTATATTGCCTTTGATAATTTTTCTTCGTTAATCTGTAGAATATTTTAAACTGCTCTACGGTGCTTATGTTAACTTCTAGCCACAAAAGTTAAAGATGTTTGCGTGTTGATACACAATAGAAGGTTGAAACGTATATATTTATAGTGTATATTTTACAATGTGTTTACAATTAACAAAAGAGGAACGATTACGTTTTAGACTTTCATTCGCTGTGGCCTACTACGGACTTGCCTTAAATGCTCAGGGATTGGGAGGCAATAATTACCTGAACTTCGCCTTATTGGGCGCCGCAGATTTGCCAATTGTAGTACTTTCTTCGATCATTCTTGATAAAACTGGACGACGAAAACTACTGGTCTCTACTTTATTCTTTGGTGGTTTAGCCTGCATAGCGTCTGGTTTGATACCCAAAGGTTGGTAACATGTACATGTACAATATAAGTGTCACCCCCTGAATCAGAGTAATCAAAGTAGGTAGATCTTGAGTAATTATGATGCCTGGTCTACTTATAATGTGACAAATGAGTATAAAACCGCTGTACCATGGAATTGTATAGTTGGTTTTTTTGTGAAATCTGATGTTAATAAAATGATACCAGAAGCATATCATTCCACAGCCATTTATCTCCCCCAAAGTATTGGTTCAGTAGGGGTGACACTTCTATTGTCCAGTGTGTGAATGTACTTTAAACTCATCAGTGCTTTTTCAGAAAGGGAAAACACTTTATTTCGGTCCTCCACATATCAAAGTTATTTGACCTAAATTGATTTTGTTTTGTTAGGATAATGTTTTATTCTCATACGAATCCAAGTAACATATCATTTTTTGTATCATATTGCGTATGAATATGCGTATGTGAAGTATCAAAGATCTCAAAACCACGATATTAAATTAAAATTGAAATTCGAAAAATGATCAGGTAGTAAATTAACACGAATCATGATGTTCGTTTTAGATTTCCAGTGGTTAGTCATTGTATCAGCAGTAGCTGGTAAAATGCTGATCTGCGCAGCTGGTGCACTCAATGACCTCGTCGTGTCAGAAGTCTTTCCCACTGTTATAAGGTACACTATTGTTTGGTATTTGGAATTCTATAAATCCACTAATCAGCTTGCTGATTGTTAACTGAAACAACATTGCGAGATTAGAGTGAGTGGTGTTTAGTTATTCAAATCTATCTATCGCTTTTCTTTCCTTGTGTTGTACTTACATGTATAACACACTTCAGGTGGCCGACCAAATTATTTTGCTTAAGCTTCGTGATTACCTGTCTTTGCCTAAAATACTTTAAAAATCCTTTTTGGGTCAATTTGTGTTGATGGAAATAATCTTCTAAACTTCCTTGCTTTAAAAAAAAACTTTTAAAATTCTTTTTGGGTCAAATTCGTGTTGATGGAATTAATCTTCTATTTTCAGACACACTGGCCTTAGCTTCTGTGTTTCCTTTGGCAGAATGGGAAGTGTTCTAGCCTCACAAATTTTATTTCTCAAAACTATATATCAGCCACTGCCCTTCATCATACTTGGTTCCTTGGCCATAACTGGAGGATTTGTGTCTTTTTTCCTCCCGGAGACCCGAGGAAAGCCACTGTTACATACTTTAGAGGCATGGGATATAGAACTCAACGGCAGGAGGTAGTGATTTTATTGTCATTCAAATTAGAACTACGAAAGCAGTTTATCTATTCTTGCCCCGCTTCCCTTTAACTGGTGGCTATTTTAAAAAATAAACTAGTGCTTATGACCGACGGGCAATGTCTATTGATTTTAAAGAATATATATATATTTACAGTTTCAAGTTATTTGCCATTGTAACTTGCCTTTTAATTATTGAATGGTTTATTATATATTTAAGTTTTCCTGTACTTAATATTAACCTGTTCCACAGCTGTAAACATGCATATTATACGTTAAAAACGTCAAGAAGAGTGTTTCCGATTGTATTGTTACATGTAGTCTTAGGTTCCCAACACGCAATTCCTTAACATTTCTGTGAAAGTAATATATGTCCATTTGTAATTATCACTGTATTTCCTTAAAGTCTCCTATTGTCTATCGGACTTCATAACAATTCAATATTTGAAATGTGGGTACTTTGGCTCCTTTCTGTATGAAATTTACGCTCTTTTTGTTGTTTTATCTTTCCAGTTTGAAAAATCAAGCGCAAAAAGATGAAAGAGACGCTGACGAAGTGGAACTTGAAAATATGAAAAGTGACCAAATTGCAACATAGTGAAGTGGATCGAGACCTCTTCACTTGGGTCTTTCACATTGGGAGATCAAGTGCCTCGCCTACCTCAGCCTATGACACCCTATGTAAAACAGTTATATTGAGAAAGACAAAATTTGAATTATTATACCCTTCGTAAAATTCTTAGACCCCATTCCCAGAGATTAAATCGATCCAACTAGATCGACCTAACTCCCTGGGGGTTCACGCTAAATAGCTGTCAGCCGAGCGGGCACGAAAGTTAATTACCCCCTTACAGCATGTAGTAGGCGGGACGGACATTTAAGCCGGATTATTTGACAGTAATCTAGTGAGACTCCCCACGGGGATAGATCGATCTAAAATCTATGGGAATGCGCCCTTAGCCTTTGATTGGTCAGTTACAGTGCCCTATTATGTATAGTATGCATGTAGTTTCCTGTCTTTCATTATTACTCATAACTAGGCCTCTGATTGGTCAGTTTTAAAACCTGTTAAAAAGGAGATTGTCACATAAGATGTCAAATTTTTCAGGCTGTGGTGTTATTTTCACTACAGTTCATAAAATATTTAGAATATTTTAAATTGTTTAGAAGTGATAAAGGCAGCCGTTACGGTGACACCGACTAAGTATGTTGCATTTCTTGCCGCCATGTACGAAATTGGCAAATCATTAACATCTCATCCAGGTTTGGCCTTACAGAAATCTGAAGCTGACTTCCNTTTACTGCTGTTCTTCATTACTCATAACTAGTCCTCTGATTGGTCAGTTTTAAAAACCTGTTAAAATGAGGTTAATTGTCACATAAGATGTCAAAATTGTCTGGCTGTGGTGTTATTTTCACTACATTTCATAAAATATTTAGAATATTTTAATTGTTTAGAAGTGATAAAGGCAGCCGTTACGGTGACACCGACTAAGTATGTTGCATTTCTTGCCTCCATGTACGAAATTGGCAAATCATTTACATCTCATCCAGGTTTGGCCTTACAGTAATCTGAAGCGGACTTCCATGTTGCATCATAAAAAAAAACTTGTTGCAGATACCACTGTTAGATTAACAGAAGAGCGATGCGCTATGCACGTGGTCACAATGCATTAGGCAGTGAAGTGGTCCAGTGAACGAATTACATACAAAACAGCAATTGAAGATGCCTTTTACTCCTTGGACGCATGAAGTAGTGATGGAGCACAAATGAGTTTAAAAGTATGTAAAACCACTCAGGCTAAGAGAGTTATACCAGTTGTATTCGTATTGAGAATTGATCTTAAGGTGTAAAAAGTATAAAGTAAAACGTGACTCGAAATAGTACCTGTAGCTCAGATCAGCTCGCGAATTTTAAGCTCGTGATTATTTGATCATTTCACACTTAACTATGACAGATCCATCCAGATGAAGTGAACTACAAGAAAAATGCTGATCGTAGTAAATATCTGCACAAATTACTACAGACGTTGCTAGAAGTTTAAAACACATAAAACATTTTATTGAGTTTCAGTGTATTAGAAATTCGGTCTATTTGACATGATTTTAAGTAAGGCTATTCCTTCGCAGGGAACATGTCATTTTCATGGTCAATAAACGTCATAAAAAAATTATAAAATAATACTTGTGTACGACGTACTAGTTAAAATATATTCTTGACAGTACAAATTGCCCAAATGCCTTGAACCAAACTGAAATACACGTTAATTTTAAGCTAACCAATAAGAATTATACTTTTAAAATTAAGCAAAGTAATATCTAAAAAGAACTAGATACGTAAACATTGATTAATCTCAGTCTCAGTACACCGATTACCAGACTATTTTAGTTAGCCAAACATGACTATTGACAGCGGTTGTAATACATGAAGATGGGGTGATGGGCTAAATATTTGTCACATTACGGGCTCCGAGTTCCAAGCCCTCAGCTCCATCGGCACGTTTACTGTCAACGGCAACACTGTCATTACTTAGGTCTTTCAACTCTTCACCAGTTTGACGGTCAACGCTCTCGTGGTCCACAGTAAACTTAAGGCTAGAAAAGGAAAGAAAAGAACAATCAAAACAAATATGTCTTGGTCTGACTTATCGTAAACGGCCATTGGTCAAAATCTGTTTATCAGCCTAAGGTTGAAGTGTGACCTATAAAAAATATATGTAACACAAGTATATGTATCAAAAGAAAAAGGCTGAAATATATTAAGTTCATTAACAATGATTTTTGATTTTGGTGATGACCATCAAAATTTGTCAAAGATCCAACTTTTTAGGGTAATATTGGACGAAAATTCGTCCCCAAGCGGTAAAAATTATAACCAGTGTAAAAGGGGTTAAAGGGAATTTCAGATATGTCCAGGCCCCGCCTGCCTCAGCCCAGCCCTGCATCGCCAAAACTATATACCAGTAGTTACCTGCCATGATTAAGTCTGGCATCCCATTCCTCTATAGTCTGTGGGAGCGACTTCCCAAGAGTTTCGGGTAGTAATAAGGCCAACAAGCCGCTGCCAACAGCAAGGGACCCCAAAATGATGAATGGCAAAGGCGAATACATCCGGCCAAGGGCTAGGACTTGTGGTGCCACAGCGGCACCTAATCTGGCCACGGACACAGTGAGGGAGATTCCCGACTGCCTGTGAAAAAAAAAAAGAGATTAAAATTTAAAACATATCCGGAGGAAACCTAATATTTGGAGCAAGTAAGCAGATGGAACTTCATCACGTGCCTTTGGAAAAGGAATAATAAGAAAGATGCGAACCTATGTAATGGACGCCTGTTAAATACTAATTCAGTTCTTGTGTAGCTCAGTTTGCATTTCACGGTGTGTGCTTGGATTCATATCTTAAATAAAATTAGTGTACTCTTCATTATACAACCTGACTATAACTTTCAACATAACTTTTATAACAAATTAAATCGTTGGAATGGATATAATCGGCTCGTCATGATTAACGATCTCATCACTTAATTACCTTACTACAGTGGGATAAACCTCAGCTGTTAACATTAGCATTACACTTCCCGTGACAGAGACCATCATCTTCCCTATCACAGCCATTGTTATTATCAGCCACTGTAAATCTGGAAGTGTCCGATGGACATCAATTTACAGAATCATTTTTAAATGGCCAAGGAGACAGAGGTAGCTCTCTGCATCAATAAAATACATTTTTCTTTTAAGCAAAGATAGTAGCATTAAATTTGCATTCATTTTAAAGTTAAATCAGGGGATCAGAATACAAACTTTGTAATGAATAATGTGTGACGCACAAGCGTCCCTACCGAGATAACTTATGTTAAGACAGTTACTCAGTCCTTTAAGTTACCTGTAGGAAGCAAGCCTGACACAATACAGGCAATTCCACCGATGCAGAACGTCACAACAATTATACTCCGGCGACCAACTCTATCTACAATAAACACGGCTACCAACAGCCCTGGAACATCTGCAGCTCCCAGTAAGGCAAAATTAATGTATATGTTGCCACCAAGCCCTTCTGAATGAAGTACAATTCCATAGTAGGTCAAGTCGAGAATAAACCTGAAATTATTTTGCAAAAAACTGGCTGAAATATTTGTAAATGTCAATCAGACAAGAGCGGGGCGGAGAAAATTCAAAAAGCAAATTTTAAGATATTTGATGAGTGGTACGAACGTAGGTCCAATCCTACGAAGCATATTTTGCAATTTCTAGAGAAGCATTTAAAATGGCCGCCAACATATGTACATGACATCTATCTCAAATCACCTTTAAAAAAGTTTTAACTTAAAATATTAAAATATTGTTTTTAATTATTCAGTTTAGTGGCATCTATCCCACCTGCATGTGGTCATTATTAAAGCAAATTTAGCTCTATTCCAAGTCCTAAACAAGTCAATAGGAGTGTGTGTGGATGTCTGCTTTTCCTCGTCTCCTTCGTTAAAAAGACGCTCCAGTGTGTCCTCTTCAAGCTTAACCTTGTTAACTACGGCAACTTTGGTAATGATCTTCTTCGCCTCCTCGTGCCTGCCACGTGCTAGTAACCATCGCGTTGGTTCTGACAGAAAGCTATCAAGACATGTAAGAAATATATTTATCCGATTAAAATTATCTTTCAAATAGCAAATGTAATATGAAAAGAAGACATATATCTGTAATATACATGTAGATAATATATTCCAAAAAAAAAAAAAAGGTTACATTCTAATTGTTCCTGCGTCTCATTCCAGGAGTTGTTCTAGTAATAGTTTATACACATACTGTTAATGGCGGTATCGCTTACTTATCGTCATTGAATCTAGCTGTCAGCAAATTTAACGTTTTATAAAAGAAAGTATACCTACAACCAGGAAAAAATTAAAATGACACCGGGTGAGCTCGCCACCAGAGCTAAATATCGCCAGTTGGAAAGTAAATAGGCCTCAATGGCTAGAAGGGCGTGTCCTAATCCAAAACACACACCCATAAAAACGCCAGCGATTTTTCTCTTACTTGGACCGACATATTCCATTCCTATAACAAATTGAAAGTGATAAAGTTCGACTTCTAAAATAGAAAACTGCGCCAGAGGTATAATATGATATAATTAGATCAGTTACTTCAACATGATTTCGACTCTTACCCATTGTATATAGCGCCAGAAACATACTGGAGTCACTGGCGCCCTGGATGACGTAAAGGACACAAAACGCCGACATATTCGGAGCAAACGCCGATGAAATCCCCGACGCCACCAGTATTATAATGCCAATCAGGAATACAGGGCGACGTCCGAATCTGTGCAGTAAAGAAAAAAGATAATAAAAAACTCCTTCTTTTCATTGATTATGGCAAATTGCCATTTACTGTCTAGATCTCTGACTCTGATTAGGGGCGCATCAGTTGGCTTACCAAATAACAAATTTCTCTTTCTTATGGATGTGATTAACTTTTAAGTTGATTATATATATATATATATATATATATATATATATATATATATATATATATATATATATATATCTTCATTCTATGTGGGAAGACGTGAATGAAAAAAACTTATACCGTTTGACGTTAACCTACATATCTGACATCTGACAACATTAAGGCCCCGAATCTTTGTTTAACAACATCATCATCATCATCACCACCACTTATATCTTTCATCAGTAACAGATTCGCCCCTCAGAACCGTCACCTGTCTGACAGCAATCCCGTCACCAGCATTGCCAGCGGTTTAAAGACGTAGAAAACCGAACTGCAGGTGTCGGTTTGCCATGCGTTCTCACACGCAAGATCAAACTGAAAAATTATATGACAGATCAATAGCCGTGATGATGAGTCTCATTGGTCTGCATCACATCACAAAATAAGCCTAATCGATTCTAAAAGATGTCGTAACGTTGATCAACATGCACTTAAAAGCATCACTTATTCTTGAGCGGCCTTTTGCAAATCTAGATCAACAACAAACACGGTGCTAGCACAGTTTTTTTTTTACCTCAGAAACAATGGTAGATTCATAGATGTTCTTGCTGTATACTCTTTGTCCGGGGCAGTTATAAGTTTCCCTCTTCTCTCCAGAAGCTTGATTCCAGGGGATATGAAAGACCGATTTAACTGAATCATTAAATGTTATCATTCTTCCATTTAGAACTCTATTTTCGTCAGGTGTGGCAGACGGGAAACTGCTATTTGGCAATGTAGGAAGTGTAGAATTCAGGTACTTTTCGTCAACGCGATACAGTTCACAACCACTGCGCTTTCCTTCCTTTGTGTACGGTACAAACAGCTCTAAAAGCTCTTCACGTGTAACATTTCCATACAGCCTAGTCACGCGTTCTACCTGTGCCGCAGGTATTTTACAATGGTGTTCTGGCTCGGCCCCGTAAAATACTATGCCCAATGTGGATAATACTGAGTAGAAAGTTATCATGCATATCAAAGCGTATCTGCGTTGTTGGTACGTACCGAACTCGCCAAGTATCTTGAGAAATTCATCGAAATTCATTTTGCTGTTGAAATGGGAAACTGTTCAGCAGGTGTTGATTGCTAAACTAACACAATGAGTACACTAAAATTTACCCATAATGCCAGGCGCACAAAAAAAAAGCGTCTGTATCCCAATATACGATACTGCCGTCACCTTCTGGTCGTGAGGTTTTTCTTATTGCAACAGACTAAATATCCCAACACCGTGAGCTCACATATTCTAGTAAGAGAGCTCGGGTCGATGCGATAAGACGTGACCTTAGATTAAGATTGTAAAGTAAATCAACAAGACCGGTGAGATACGGATGCTGCATTCAGTACCTATTCAAACGCCGTTTTCAGTGTGAGGGGGTGGTCAGTTAAAATCCACATCAAAATAAAAACTAGCTGGGCTTCTGAGAACGTGTTTCCACAGCGAACCTTGCTAAAAACCTTGAGATAGCTTCGAGAAACTTTAATTTTTTTTCTGTATATACAGATCCCAAGTATCTTTTATGAGGCCTGTTACCAGAATGAGTTAATATCGGTTCGCTAGTGCTCTGTGCGGGTAAGATACGATAATGGAAATCACTATAACGCCGAACTTTTACTTTTGAAAAAAAAAAATAATAATAAAATTATGCTTAAATTCATCAAGTTTTCGATTTCAATTAAAACTGCTACAGTAAAAGAATAAATAAGATATTAAGTGTTCAGGAGAGTGTAAATTAGTAATTAAGTCCTCAAAAAATGCTGCAAAGCATGTAAAAAGACACAACTCTTAAGAGCTAACATATTTTGTAAGTTTATTTAATGTTTGTTTTTAAAACGTGTTAAATAATGGTAATTTAAAAAACGTACAATGATGAGCAATGTGGAAAAATGTTACTTAATGACATCACCGTTGGTGTTATGACTTTACAGCAAACAAAGTATTCAATTGCTTCGCTTGCTAAATAACATCATTTCAACGAAGTGGTTGGCTTATTAAAAAGTTCAGAGATCGAGTTTCTTTAGTTAAAACAATGTATAGCCAAGGCAAGATGTGATGGCACTGGCGAGTCTGTCCGTCATTTGTTAAACTTCCAGCGTGAGCGTCGTTTGGAATGTTCATGTATATGATGACTATAGTTGAAGTATCACGCAAACCTACTGGGGTCTTCAAAATGCACGCCTCTTTGGGGCCTTGTTCATTTCCTGCAATAATAATGACTTGTGAATAATTCTAGTTTTCATTTTATTTAAAATGTGCACAGGCCACTTAAGAGGATTTAGAAAAGGAATCTTTACGATATTGTTTTAAATGCCCATCGTTCTTTGCTTGCATGTAAATTAAGCATTTCTACTCAAGGAAATTATATTCGAGTTCACATCCTCTTTCTTTCTCTCTCTCTCTCTCTCTCTCTCTCTCTCTCTCTCTCTCTGAGTGTGTGTGTGTGTGTGTGTGTGTGTGGGTGAGGGTGTGTGTTATTTGGAAAATAAAGACATTTGTGCTAACACCTCCAATCCAACAGTGACCAAATCAAACTGCAAAAATTGTAACTGAACAAATCGTACAATGGTATACAAAGAAACAAATTAATATCTCTAAACTAACCATTAGGCCTATGTTCAACCTTCTTCGGTCATGACGTCTAACCATGGAGACCAAATTTACCAAAGCCAACTCCCTGGAACATGAAAATGTAAGTTTTGTAATCTATGAAGATTATGTTAGGTCTATTTGCAAGTCAACTTTAATAAGGATAATTTAAGATTGTATGTTTAAAGAAAGCAAGATACATGAACTGAATTATAAAAGGATTTGCCTTTTGATTTCAATTAAGATCTAACGTTCGCTAAGCATTACCTTTGTTTTTTTATTTTTTCTTCATGTAATTACGCACACACACTGAATATTTGAAAAATGTTTTCTACAGACTGCTTCAAATAAAATTCATATAAATGATGAATTAGAAACTTCCCATCTCAAGTTCAGAAAATTTGTTTCCAACAAAAGTAACTAAAACCTTGAATTCAAATGTGAAAAACTAATGGCACCATTTTTGTTATAATAAAATGAAGTTCCACTGACCTTGCCGAGACCCAGTCCGTAACCAACACCGCCATAGCCGCCGAGGCCGAATCCACCAAGGCCAAAGCCCTTGCCGAAACCGCCAAGACCACCGTATCCGATGCCCTTGCCGAAGCCTCCGATTCCGCCGTAGCCGAAGCCCTTGCCGAAACCGCCGATACCTCCGTAGCCGAGACCGCCAAAGCCGCCGAAACCCTTGCCGATGCCGAAGCCACCAATGCGACCGATGCCACTGCCGTAGCCAACTGGATATCCCTTCAGGCCTGGGGCGGCGTAGGCGACGGCGGCGAGGGCCAGGAGGAGAGCGATGCACTTCATCATCTTGACTGTGGAGGTTGTTACCTTTAATGCAGTGGAGTAAAGACAGTGTTCTTCCCTTTGCCTTTTATAGGCCCCAGCACCCTGGTGTTCTGTGCGTGATGTTAAACATTTTCCAAGGTCGTGCATGGAGCGTTGATGCCATGACATAAAGGCTTTGTAAGCTGGACAGCAAATTTACAACGCTGCTTCTTGTTCATGAATTTGAATCTCAAAATTCCCACCACAAAATTAACAAGGCTTTTAGTCGAATAATGTGCAACATAACAATATTCCCTTTTCAAGGTGAAGATATTAGAGCCTTTTATATCATTTATCTATTTCATTTGAGATACAATGTGAAATTCCACGATACAAAGATAACGTTTTGGCATATTTTAATGAGTTAATTTTGGCTAAAGGCTGATTGTGAAACTAAATATGTAATTTATTTTAAAGGCATATGGCATAACATTTATTTTGTATCAAAATTAAAAAAAATTGTTGTGGATAGATTTGTAAGAACAACACCGATGATTTAAAAAAAATATATTAGAAAATTTTACGTTTGTTCGTTACAATACTAATGGAAACTAGGGAAACGTTCTTCGGATTTAACATACTGTACACAAATATAATCCTCGACACGAATGTTGTTATAAAAGCATTTAACAAAACAAAATAATGTGATTATAAAACACTTGAACAGTCAAAATATAATGAAATATGCACTGAAGATCAGATTGTTCAAAATATAAGTGTGACATTAAAAAAAAAAATATTTTACAAAAAATGACCCAGTTACTGGCGTCGTGTAGAAAATAAGTATTAATGATACATTTCCTTGGCAGATTTTAACAATGAAGAATTGGGGAATGATTAATGGTCCAATTAATAACGCCTTGTTAGCGTTCGTTATCACGACCACTTAAACGGGCATTTCACGTGTCCAGACTTGACACGAGATACTATACGGTGTATAAAACATACACTAAATGCTGTAATGAAGAAGAAGAGGGCCAATTGTATACGTGTAATTAGCACTTTGAAGTGGCCACGTCCATTTCAATTAGCATCTCATTCATCAGATGGTCCGCTCTGTACCAGGAAATTTACAAAATGACACGCTATCTTAGCAGTAGAGAAAAGACACTGAACTGTACAAAATGACGAGGGGGGTCTTCAAACAAATCGTCACGGTATTTGTGAAGTGTCTTTTCCTTCCGTATAAAATCCCTGGCACAGTGTGATATGTTTGCTTTTCAATGAAAGATAAAGAAGGCCCTTGCTTTCTTCGAGCTGAAACAAGTTTTGTGTCTGAACCCGGCATTGGTTATAGTTATTTTATTAATCTGAGAGACCTTAGGTTTTCCAACCTCTCTCTCATCTATACACACAAAACTTATCCTTTTTACATACTATGTCCATATACGTTACATATTATGTCCACTCGCCATTTGTCAACTGCTGCATTTTTTAGCAGTCAACTTACTGTATTTTTTAAAAATAGTTATTTACGACCGGCGGACGTATATAAGACTAAAATATAAAAAAAAACCTTTACATACAAAACCAGGAGTGCATGCTTGAACATGGGAAATTAAACTGCGAGTAGAAGCATTCGTCAAAGATTGTGTAATATTTGTAAATTTCACTTCATACATTATTTTATTATACAAAAACTGCACGCCACTGACGTGCTTCAAACGTTCACTTTTGTAGGATTGGCCTACAATTCAAGTTCTGTTCGAAAGTGCGTTTGCTGCGACAAAACGCAATGATCCCAACACAATGTTTTAAACCCTGCTAATACACCAAGGCTACGAAACAGGAGAGCGATAATTGGGATTGTGACTTTCAAACGGTGAATGGGTTTGTGGAGTTTGAATTGAATTTATAACCCCCCCCCCCTTAACATAACGCAACATTCCGGAACTATGTCTTTCCTCCCCCTCCTTTACTTTCTTTTCTACAATTTCTACAATTGCGGATATATTTGACTTTGTACACTGCTGCAGAATACGTGTGTCACACGTGCTCATGTTGCTTCTGGACAATGCTCTTTGAAACAATGTGTTTATTGGTTTAGTGTCATTTTTGTTTGTGATGTTTTTGATGTTTGCAGTCTGCAAAGGACAGCAATCGATAAGAAGATGTGTCAGTTAAAAATGAGCTCTTTTACATTGGGAAAGGGGAGTGCTCACGTTATTCATATCGCCTACTTTGAAACGTTGTGTTAGCAGCTTTCATTACTTGTTTCCGTACACATAATTTTGACGCTTTTTTGGTGGTGAGTGATGTTACGATACTGATCTAAAGCCCTGCGTCTTATCAAGGCCAAGTAGGCCTATTGCAATGTTTACCATGCACACACAGCTTATCAAACATGTTTTGATCGTCATCCACTTGAATGCCAGGAGTGTTACCAAAACGAAAACAACCAAGCATCAAAACACGGTTTCTCCACACGATGAGAATGAGAAGAGCAACCTACACCATGTTATTTAGAATAGTTGTTTTATTTCATATAATACTATTATTTCATAAAAGATAAAAGAAATTGGAAGTACTTCGTCCCAAAACTTGGAACCTGTAAGAACACATGTAGTCGCGCTACAGTGACGAGATAGGAACACCTTTTGCGACGGTTTAAAAAAAGTTTCTACATGACGCACTCCAATTTCTTTGTACTTTATTGCAATATCACACGTCTAAGAATCTAAGGACTTATTCCCAATAAAACCATCGTTCTACATAGATTAACATAGATAGATTAACAGATTAACACGCCTCTTGCTTCCCACCTAGGACGCAATGTTGCGTCCTACTTCCCACGTACTCCTATAATCACCAGATTTTCTGTATTCTACTCAACGTCAAGAGAGGCGTGTTCATATGTTAACCTGATTGCATTAACCTGACTGATCTAGGATGAAAGTTGTATTTGGAATGAGCCCTTAATTTCAAAAGAGCTCAAACAGATTTTCTAAGTGTAATAACACCGAGACAGTACGCCCTCTTCATATAGTAGGCTAATGTAGGCCATAAAACAAAACGCAAATACCACTAACAAGCATAGTATGTACAGCTACAAAATTATTTCTTACACAATAAACTAAATGATTTCTAATAAAGAATAAACCTGGGACAAAGTTTTAGTTTCACAAAACGACTGATTTTCAGTACATTAGCTTAGTCTGCAAAAAGTACACGCCTCATGATAGTAATCTGAGAGAGATCCACATAGTACTTGACACGACAAAATGGACTATTGTCCCACCAGGAAGTAAAAACCACGGGCAAGACAATCATATTTTCTTCGGAAGGCACATTTGAAGGGCTGAAAAATAGGGGAAGCGACTTTTTGGGTTTTTTTGTGAAATGCAACAGACTCGGGTAAGATCCATAGCTGTCTTTGCTAAGGCGGACTTTCGATTGAGGTCGTTTTGTGAAACGGGTCCCTTCTGCTTAATAGCTTACAGAGGTAAGCCTTATTGAGGTACTAGGTAATCAAATGCTGAAACACGTAAATGGCTATGAACCAGAACAGCCATCAATATGTAAAACAAACTTGCATTGTTTACTTGTGGTTATATACTCGGAAGAACAGCACCTCCATTTTGTTGGTTAATAAGGCACAAATATTTATAGCACTGATAACTCAAAATCAACAAGCAGATCGACTTAGGCCTATGTTGACTCATCAAGTTGAAATGACATGCCAAATGCAAGGGAGAAGGTTGTACTCAGCGGACTGTTCCGAAATGATTTTCCAGTTATGGCGACATCTTTACAAGCCAGGGGCATCTAGGGTATAATAACCTATAAAGGTGTGTATCTGCACACCTGCTACAGATGCCTTATAGTAATATAAAGTATATACTTGCACCTGTAATTTACAGTGTTAATATAATCTGGACCCATAAATCGCCTTATGTTAAGAGGTGCGTAAAAAATTTGTTGGCACTCAGTTCTTGTACAATTAGTCTTACATTTGGTATACAGCTCCAACCGACATAAAATACCATTATCACAACTCCAAGTATGCTATAAAATTAACTGCAAAAATACGCAGTAGTTTGGCTGGTTTTTAGACTTCAATAGAAGCCTATGGCCATCTTTAGTCAATGATAGACTAAATGATAGCGCTTTGGTAAAAAGACTGAATAAATAGTCAAAACTGTGTTAGGAATACTGAAGCTCGTGCCTGAAACCGCAATTGGAAGTTTAATGAACGCGATTTTCCAGGCTAAAAATGTATGTCTGCGAATAGTCGTGAAAAACCAAATCCCAGAATCCAGAAATTTATAGAAAACTGTCAAAAACTCATACCCCAATTATCAGGTCAATGGCTATTTCAAGCCATTAGCTCTTAAGTTTAAAGCTGCATCATCTGCATCATCATAATAGTGGATCTGGAGTCATATCTCTTAATCTTTCACACATGACAAACTTGTAATGTCAAGCCTGGTTTTGACGGTCACGAAATATGTGAAAACCATTGCCTTCTGTCTTCGGGAAAAGGGAATGCAAAGCTTGAGTTTTATATTTTATGGCACTGTGAAACACTGGCTGTTAGGCGTTTTGCACTGGTTGCACACGACACAGTTTGAATGACTCCAAAATATTCTCAAAAGCAACATTGTTATTTGGCCATCTTCCTGGAACGGTCCCCATTAACTTTAGAGATAAAACAATCAGCACAGTAATCTTTGCTTATCTCCCATTCTTGTTAAAAGTAGCGTCAAGAGATAATCGCCACATCTCTTCAGTTTCAAGGTACCAACTTGCATTATAAACAAAGCACTTCATTTAATAACAGTTCCAAAAGTGTTGCGCCTCAAGTTTTCGCTGACACGTGCACTCTTTCTGTCCAATCAGGGGATTTTTGCGCAAGCGCCTTTCGTTTATATCCGGTGCCCGCTGCTGCAAGTATAGTCTCGTAAACAAGTGTGTCATGACGCATGATACTGGTCAGTTACATAGGGATGAAGCTAGAATAGGCCGGGGTCATCTCAGGATCCTCCGAGAGGCTGAAAGCACGGCGCAGTCTCCTGCTTAAACTACCTTTTCGCTGCAAAAATTAAAAATTAATAGCAAACTAAAATTTCACAAAGAAATCTCACACAATTCACAAATGGAATACAAATGGTGTACCTGTTACCAATCAAGCTATGTTATATTACTAGGCAGTTATCGAGGGCCGATTCTCAATATTCGTTGAAATTATATATATACACACACACACACACACAGTGTATATAGGAACTTTAATAATTTTGGCGTCACTGTTACTGACTGTAGTAAATTCTTCCCTCTACTTTTTGTGTCGATTGTGTTGTCCTATAAATCTTTTTATTAGAATTTGAGGTGGGGAATGTAAAGTAGCACTCGCATTTTTTAAAGAAATATACATACGATATATATCCGATATCGTTTAAGAAAATGTTATAGTTTGTCATACGAATGTGGTCTAAGGAATTGGGGTTCCGTGTAATAATAAACATGCCATATATATTTAAGCAAGCCGGTAGAAACAGTAGAGCAAAACAGCTCAAAAACTATTCTGTAATCAGATCAACTCGTCCAACACCTTTCCACCATCCGCCCGACACATACTTTCGAATACGCGGCATGAAAGACTGAATCTCATCAGGGTCTGCTCTGTATGATCAAAGCACATTACATCGTTCAAAGAATTACAAGTATAAATGTAGGGTCTAGTCGGAAATCTTGAATAGATGCCAGCAATTTATACGATTGTGTTTGTTATGCATTGCTTTTAAGAGTTTTTTTTTATCCTAATAGCAACTGATGTTCTAAGCATGTAGCAGTTGTAACTGCCTGGAGGAGAATTTCGCACCTGGTTGTAAATAAGGAGAATCTATTACTGTCGCAGTCAGTAACATTATCTTATACCAGTATAAACCGCAAAGGATAAATGTTTTCCAAGTCAAGTCTTTCCACTCGATGAGAAGCTTTCACATCAAATTAATTTTATGTCTACAAACACTCATACAACACCAGGGGCAAAGACCTGGACCTAAGTGTACACGTTTTATCTGTTAGCGACCTTGTTGTTTTCTGGATTCGTGGCCAAAAGTTCAAACAAGGTCAGGGTCATAGTAAACACGAGGTTTGCTTTGCAACAGCTGCCACCCTGATATTGATTGACCTATTTAGAGAGCACAATGTTTCCAGAGATATCTAATACTTAACATTTCTAGTGGCCCACCTAAGCGTTTGCCACGGATATAGCTTCTGTTTCTACGGTTTACCAACACATGGTCACCGAGTTTCGGACTGGCATTTTCCCTCTAAGTTTTCCTTTTTTTTAAATTCAATAGCCTAGCCCACTTCTCAAACATTTTAGTAGTCCAAAGGTGGGGTATACATTTCACAACAACTTGAGATACCAGTAAAAGCATTATTGCAACAAGACAATGTCCCAAAAATGCCCAGGGAAACAGTCAATTTTTTTCTGGTAAATGGTTTCACTGCCAAGATAATCTTTGCCACAGCTGTAAACGATGCAGACCCACGTAAACTATATGCACATAACCATTATATTGGATTGAAAGACCTTATGTACACTTATATGGAATTCTGCGGCTGGTCCACTACAGCCTGGGCTCCCAGTTGTTCGTTTTCCAAGATTGTCTTAATCTAAGCACATGAACGCAAAAACCTGAACCTACTCGAAAGCGTACGTGTTTAACCAGTTGGCAACCTTGTTGTTTTGTGAACTTTATTGTTTCTGGTTCTGTGGCCAAAAGTTCAGTCAGGGTTAGGGTCATGGTAAACAGTGGAGGTTTGCTTTGCAAAAGTTCAGAATTCTCTATGGGTCAATCTCTGTGGGATCTCCATTTAACTTTGATGGAAAGAAAAATAACTGAAATTCTCTTAAAATTGACACATGTATTATATCGACAGTTATGTAGACAATATGCAGACAATTAACTATGGAAAAATATAATTAGACCCTGGTCTACTGCCCGCGCTGCGGTCTACGTGCAATTTGTGTTCTAAAGATAACGCTCGGCGCTGTACCTGGAAAGGTCATTTCTCTAGAACTCAGGGTAACTTGAACCAATTCCCAGACGCATATTATGTAGATTTAAGGGGCTGAACATTCAAAAACAGTTGAATGGTCTGGCTTATTTGCACCCATCATCCCCCCCTTCCCGACCACCACCACCACCACCAACTCGCACCATACCCACCTTCCTCATCCCTTTACTGTCAATACTGACAGTCGACATTGTCGAACACTCGGATTGTGTTCGTTTCCTGAATGCCTTGGCCATTTCTTTGCGTTCCTCAAGCGTGGGGCAGGAGTGCACAAAATCTAAATCCTCGTTGCTACCTGTCGAGCCAGCGTAGGTCACTTTTTTGTTCTGCTTCTTCTTCCCAGTCGTAGGAGATAGTTCTGCCGAGGCCTCCTTAGCCTTTGCCTTTAGTAAGTGCTCGTTCTCGGCATGTTTGGTCTCACTCTCTGTCTTAGATCCCCCAGCTACTTCCATGATCCGATGATTGCCTTGGCCGTGCTCGCTGCCTCCCGCAACATATATTTCTCTCCTCTCAACCTGATCAACCAGGTCACAGCCCAAGATTTTATGCAGAGACTGCACGTACGGGTTATTTTGTCAACAATGCCTATTCCGCAACTGAGCCTCGTTTTCGGCGATACATAAACAAAAATGGTAATTGTTTTGACTGATTTCGTAGCGTAAGTGCCTTTTAAACGTTTGGATACTTTTCATGTTTTAAATCCACTCAAGTTAAGTGCACAGCAGGTAAACAAATGAAGTATCTTCTGCTCTGGCCATATGTTTTTTTAAATAATGAAATATCAATTAAAACACCCCAAGCATTTAACTTTATATCTTCTGGCTGGTTGGCGTTTTCGTTTTTGACTAAAGTTAGTCGAGTTCGACAGTACGCTAACGTTAACGGTGTCAGTGCGGTCACCTGCAGTTTTACATTACTATTGACATTCCATTTTTCTTTTCGTCTGCTGAATAATGTGACTTTTTCTACAATCAAGGAGCAATTAAGGTCGTGGCAAGCATAAACCAAAACTTATGTACAGGGTACGTTTTTGGAACGTAGCGAGATAGGGCAATAGGGTCTGAGCTTAAAGATTGCTTTACAGCTAAAATTTATTGTACTTAATTAACAAGCACTTTTTTGTTTTGAACGAGAATAGATTCGATAATATGGATATTGTAAATCACGCTAGGGTGAGTTAAATACAAGCTCAACTAAGAATTTTTTTTTGTAAAATTTATTCAAATTGTAAATGTGTATAAATATTTAATCGTAAGCGAATTTGAGCATTGCACAAAAAATTAAAGGAATGTTTTTTAAAAGTGCAAGGTATTGATAGCCTTTTTTTGTGTGAAACATATCTTTATTCTTTGCTTGAATCAAATTGCATAATGAACGGGAAACTCTATAAAAAAACATACGCTCGTTACACAGTAAACAGGCACATTGAGACAAAAAAAGGCCAATATAATAGACAAGATAATAAAAAACAATCAATCTACTAGAGGCAAAAGGCCATAATCACTATAAGTAATTCCGTTTAAAATTTAAAAAAAAAAAAAAAAACAAAGTCGAAATATCAAACCATCGTTCAATATATTAAAACATTTACATTGAGACACTATTAATGTTTCTCCCTGAGATAAAGCTGCATAAAACTGTGCAAATATAATCTTTTAATACTGCCCCGATTTTTCGCACAGTGTTCTTTTTGCAGGGTTGAGATCCAGCGCTCTCAGCACCGTTTCTGTCAGAGTCACCTTTAGTGGGAAGAGCGTATCTTACACACGTGCGCCAGGGCTTGTCGGAGCGCAGAAGCTCCAGTGTCATTTTGTACCATAACAGGTGATTCCAGAAAACGACACTTTTTCACATCATTAACAAAAGACTTCTTTTTTTCTCTCTTTCTTCCTCTCTGAAGTATTGAATTGCATGAGGCGGGCTCTGAAAACACTTGGCAGTGGCCTGACTCTTGCCTCTCTCCCTCGTGCAGACCCTTCCATGCCTCACATAGGAATGTAAGTTGCATAAGCGGCAGTCAGTTTCGGGTCGGCAGGAAGGCTGATTGAGTTGGCAATTTTACTTGCTGTTTTCTTTACCTGAAATTACATATGTCGCTATCAATCATGTTATCAATGTAAAACTAACTGATACCACCAAAACTATTATTGAATATTGTTGTTGATCCATAGCCTAGAACTCGTGACAACTGTCAAACTGTCAGTTTGGCTAGGCTACTTGGAACGTAGCCAACTGCGCAGTTGGTTGCCGTATATAGACCAAGGACGGATTCTACAAACTATGTATCATCGAGTCAGTTAGGGATAAAAGCCTTGTAGACTATGAAACAGCGCACTAAAATAGACCTTCCACCCTAGCAAAACCATTCGGTCTATTGCTACAAGTGCCCGCTTTTGCGGTATTTGGCCTTTAAGGGGTTATGAATAATATTATAAAAACCGTCAACTATATATCAAACAGTGTAATTTGCAGAATATCAATGTAAAAATGGAGTATCTACGGTGTACCTAGAACCTCGTAACTACTGGCATTCGTGTGATCAGTAATCCTCATAAAAAACTACAGATAAACACGGCAGCCTCCGGAATGTGCTGCACAATGATCTACTACGTATGGGTGCGCTAGCGTCATCTCAATACCTGGTGTAGTTCCTATGACCCCATTTATACTACCTGGATATATTTCATAGGGAATGTTATATGTCCTCTTACCCTTTTCATCAGCTGTTCTTTCTTGGTCTGTGGGGCCTCTGGCACCTTTGTTTTCTGTTTAATCTTCTTTTTGCCCTGCATGTTAACTTTTCTTTCTCCTGCTTTTGCTGTTATCTAAACGATGTCTCTTCAGTGGTTCTTCTAATTCGTATAAGTCTTTTTTGTTCGCAATAAATGTGCATCCTTTTTATACTTTTCTGTTGATGTAAACAAAGACATGTGACTTCGTCTCGTGACCTATATCAGGAATTTGGAAGGTGTGTACCAGATCAAGCTCTCTGATTGGCTGAGTCGGGAGTCAGGGCCCACCTCTTTCCGACCAAAGCACAACAAACTGAATGACTGGGCTGGAATGTGTACTAAATGTCCCAGTATTCGTTTCACAATTACTGCGATATTGATTTTAGCCTTCATAGTCTATCATAGTCTATCGGTGTATTGCCACAGACCAAACTTATCGGCATGGAAATATGAATGCTTGGAAAAATGCCAGACTGATTTACCTGCTATTTGCTCCAGTAGACGAAAACTGAATATGGTTATGATAGGTACATGTACTGGTACATGAAGAACTAGTTTTGATATTCCCTCCATTAGTCCTGCCCCCCCCCACCCCCCACACAAACATATACACATGTACACTCACATTCACACTTCGTTGCTACTTTTATCCTTTGCTACATTCATTCTGTTAACATTTTTTTTGCATTTTTTATGATTTCTAGCTGTAACGAATATCAATCTGTGCTAAAAGCACACAAACCAAATTAAAACTTGCCATTATTTGGAGGTTATGACTGATGCAATACCATGCAGATCAAGTGGTAAATATTCATAATGAATAACATACTGTTATGTTTATTGCCATAATATAAGGCTCCTGTGAAGTAATTGTTTCGATATTTTAAAAGATTTGAAAGGACGTAGGGAGTAGGTGTGAGATAATACCACATTTGTTGTCAGAATATAACAAAAACAATGGTTAAATGTTCTAGACTTATTCAGTGTGATGATACATAAAAATAGATAAAATATATACATAAAATATAAACATATTCATGATTGCTGTCGTTTTTGTCTGACTAAAAAATTAGTCATCATTTAAGGCATACCTGTGGAATAGTTCACTTCATTTAACACGGTTTCCAAGAACAGAGGACAATTGATGGACCAATCATATAAATGGAATGAAGAATGAACGGAAGGGAGACACGATTGGTGCGAGAAGGAGAACAAAGATGGTTGGAAGAGGTGCAGTTTCTGATTTAAATTACGTGCGTCCAACCAGGGAATTATATCGGATATAATTCCCTGGTCCAACTTCGTTTGTTAGAAATCCGGACATTTCACCCAGAACTTTCCCTCTATCAATACGCACTGCTTTGCCCCCATTCGAACCTAACCACCTAATGGGAACAAAAGCCAGTGAAAAAATGTTAACAAATGCACTTTGCTGCACGTTTCTATATAGGCTGGCATCAAACAATTATGAAACGATTTTCAAAGAGCAAGTAATAGCAAAAGGTTGCATTCATACTGACAGGCGCGGTGCAATATAAATAATGGCTGTGAGTCAAGGAGACGACGAGGACGTGGACTTTGCCCCAGTCATCTTCGTTCGGTCCCAGTTATTGGTCCTTGTTATTTATGTTTACCTGTTTGTTTACATCTTTTTATGTGCGTGCTTTTTGACACGCCTTAACTAGTTTACAAAGCTTTCTTTGCCATGACGACGTAAATGACTTTTTACAAAGTCCAAGGTAAACATATTTTCTACGTGTGACATTGAGCGTACATATTGTGAGGAAACCTTAGTTTGACTGATTTTTTTTTACAAAAATGAGATAAAACGTGTGATTGCATTTCATTGCCAAGGGATAATTACTCTTTAACGACAAACTAAATGAACAGGAAAATACGGCCGTTTTGTAAAGGTGCGTTTAAGGAAAAAATCGAGCGTCGCATGCCAAGAGCATGCTTTGTATATACCATACGTTGTCATTGTGTAAATGATTAACTTAGCGTGTCGACCAAATATGGCATTATGAGCCACGGGTCTAGAAACATCACGGTAAATATTTACGTATCTATTCATACTTTTTACTTATAATGTGCTTTATAACACGCGTCTAAACCTCTTCCGACTGGTTTTACGTATAAACGTAAACATTCGTTTTAGGACGTTCCGTATGTTCTAGGATATACCCGACCTTCAACGAAGTGACATCATTTCGCATTTTTGTTGAGCCACATAAACTGAAACCGATTAAATTAAAATTATTTTACTGATATACGAGTCCGAAATTCAGTTAACCCATAAAGACAACAGATAGATTTCATTCACTTTTTAATTTAAGTCCTTTTTAAGCCCACCATCACTGGATCAATTATCAATTAATCTCAATTTGTTCAAACCGCTATATATTTAACATCAACTGAATGTGATATAAAAGACAACACGCATGATGAACCATTCTGCCTGCTTTTATTAACTGTTCCACTAAATGGCAAGAAAATCTAAATAACAAAGGGACAGCGTTTTTAGCGTCTTCTTTAAGACATAAAGTGGTCAATCTATAATGACACCTTGAATGAAATTTGCCAATTTTACTTTTATCTCTACAGAAACCGTCGTTCTCATGCCAACGTCGACTAATCGAGCATGTCATAATGAGATTACAATTTTCCGACATTTCCTGCATCCGTACCTATTTTACGTGCGAAATGGTACAGACAGTGGCATTTTGACAATGACTGCACTCAGACCAGGGTGACTTTTTTATTCAATAAAACTGCTATCTAGCGGCGATTTTTCCAGCAGCTCGAACCATTTTGATACACGATACTTAACAAAATAAATCAAATTAAAATTGTACAACAAGTAAATAATAGAATGCAAAACCAGGTCATTAATATTTTACCAACAATGGCAATAAGACATTGGCACCAGGAAAGCCAGTCCATATCTGACATGAAAATAGAGGAAAAAAAATAAGTAAAAAACACAGGAGCTTTTTAAAAGCTTCAACAAAATATTGAAAGATGCACAAAAACAAATTTTCAAAAGAAAAATTATAAACACATGATGAAGATAATAATCCTACACATGAAATTTTCCTAGTTTGTCAATATAATATTCAAATTCTGTACTTCATAACAAAGGAAATATTAAATAAACTGGTCCTGTGTCTTCTAACATCTCTTTGCAGGGAAAACAATAACAGTTATGGCAACGATGAAAGTGGATTTTACTTCACCCCACGAGAGATGACAGTTTGTTCTTTTTTTGCTCAGATCTAGGCAAAATACATGATACAATTTGACAACCTATCCTTCCCAACTCTTTATGCGAATAGTCCATCTTGATTCTAGGAAGCATCTAGAAGGTCGATTAATGTCATTAACTGTCACACAAGATAACCTGTTCAATACCTGACCGCAACAAAGAGAAAAGTCAAAATTTATATACACCTCCAACATGCGTATTTGTAAAAAGAAAAAAAAAACTCCTTTTTATGCAGACAAACTATATACCCATTTCTGCATTTCAACATAAAAAAGTTGTTCACTCCTATCTTTGCCTTCTCAAAATATCTAAGACTGTACACGTTGAATACCATCCAAACCTTTCAATTTTCACGACACTGAATCTATCATTTTTTAAAATTGGGAAAAATGCAGACACATATTTGGCGTAGCATTTTGATATAACCCCACTGCTGCAACCAAAATGGTGAAAACTTACATGTAATTCAATTATTAAGGTTAACTCTTTTCCCCCATTTACACTTTGCATAAAGACATAAAGCTCTTCTCCACATACCAAAATGGCAACAATAATGATGATGCTTATACTAATCATCATCAATAGTTCCACATAATTATGTATATAGATGCCAGTACAATAATGAAAACCCTTGTATAATTGTACACATAATATATATATATATAGATTAATGTCCATATAGTTCCCATTTCAGTCCACAAATTCTAGATATGTGACAGGCACCATCCCCCTCTGAGAGCCTCTCTCTCCCATCATCCAGTCTGGATCCATTCCTGGCACACTATACACTGTGATCACCTGAAATACAAGTCACATATATATACTATATGCTGTGTCACTTTGTGGTATACTGGTTATGTGTGGTTGGGTGGGCGTGGAGGGCATATTTTACAATTATTAAGATTAGGGATATGTGGGTTGTCCAAATTTTTTGGAAAAAGGACAAAATTTTACATGAGAGCATGGAATATTCATTAACAATGAAGATGTGCAATAATAACCATTACCTAAATAAAATTTGTCATTTTTTTTTGCTTTGGTCTATTTGAATCAATTAGTCAACCAGCCAGCCAATCAACCCACCCATCAGAAAATCATCATTACCGTTCACATTTACCTCATCTGCTAAGAGAGACAACTCCTTGCTTCCAGCAGCATCGTAATCATAGAGGGCTTTGGCTTTCCTGGCACCAGAGGGTGCTCCATTACCAGCAGGTGGCGCTGATGGCTGTGGAAAGCTTTCATATGCAGGAGGGCGAATGTCTGTCGGTAAACCACCTTGGGGATTGTTGGGGCTTGTGGAGTAACTGGAAAAAGAAAGGTTATGGAAAGTGTAATTACTGTTTTGATCATTACATTGGGAACTTTGATGATTCAAGACTTAAACAGGGAAAAAAAAAAAAAAAAAAAAAAAAAAAAACGGAATAACCTAACTACCTGCAAATTATTGTCACAGTGTTATTTCTATGTATCTATGTACAAGTATGTATACACATTTGTACATTTATATTCACCACTGTCTGTAGTGGAGGTGGGTGAGAAGAAAAATGGATCCCATGTTACCAAGACTACTGTACAGTGTTAATTAATGTCCTACCTCCCAAGCTGCCTCTGCAGATCCTGCATATACTGTTGACACTGTGCATAGTACGTAGTCTGAGCTTCTATGAAGTCATTCAAACATCTGAGATGATGTGCCTGAAGCAGATAACAAATAATGGCAATGATTCTTGGCCATGTTCCAACAGAATCATTCAAGTATTGACCAAGTATATGAAAGAGAAAATATTGAATGTGGTACTTACAAGTTCCAACATTTGATATTTTTCATCATTTCAAAACGAATATTTTTAATATACTCATCAATAAACTTTTTAAGTCATTAACCAAAGATTCAGTCAAATTTCAAAAGTCTTAACAAAACATTTCTTGATGATATACAACGTAGGTAAACTTGTTAGCATGTAATGAAAAATGCCTGATAGGTTTTATTCACATGATGGGCCTCTGGGCAAAAATGTAAATAATACAAAGCAGAGCTCTCATATAGAAGCTTTCAAAGAAATGTTATCAATCTGTAGTTCACAGGAAGAAAGGCCTCTGGATAAAAATCAAGAATCTTGTTCATAGTATTTTTTAAACTCCTCTAACCACTAGAGGTCCATTTCACAAAATTGGTTCAGCAGATCAGCATTCTATCCATGTATTTAGGTTTTAAGTGACTAAAAACTGGGTCTTAAAAAATCATGGAAAAATGTCTTTGAGGGCAGTCCCAGAGATTTAGATCGATCTTACTAAATCGACCTAACTCCCCGGGGGTTCACGCTAAATTGCAGTCAGCCGACCACGCACGGAAGTTAATTACCCCCTTACAGCTTGTAGTAGGCGGGACGGACATTTAAGCCGGTTTATCTGACAGAAATCTAGTGAGACTCCCAACGGGGATAGATCGATCTAAAATCTATGGAAATGCGCCCTTAACCTCCTCTTGTGAAACTTGTATTAGGTTTACTGTAAGTCCCTGTACTCACATGTGTGCTACTAATCCCTTCTAGGAGCAGCTTGGTGATTTCAGACTGTCTGTCAAACTCAGACTGAGCGTTGCGAAGATCTGTCTCTGCCTAAAACAAAAATTTCTGCTGGTTAACGATAATAATGTACAGATCACAATTGATAACAACTTCCAGTTATCAAGACTGGTCATATCTGAAGAAAAAAATCAATTTTTTTGCAATGTTTACAATATGCTTAAAGATGACGTAAAGGATCAATCAATCACTAAAATTGCAATGTCATATATCAATGAAAATTTATGGTTTAAAAATGTCATGGTGAAATCAGGGAAAAGGTTTCTTTAATTTATAAACAAAACTTGCAAGTGAGTTTTTGACACCATTAAACCTAACCAGAGGCTAAAATATAAACTTAATAATATTCATCACTTCATCATATTCATTCAAAAGCAGATTTAAACCATCCCAAGATCATAATGATAGTTAATTTTGTCCCTGTTTGAAGTTATCAAAATATAATATTTTTGGCAATATCTGCATGTCTTCAACCTAACACATGAGTGAGCTACTTAAATGGGTTACTGATGGAGTTCTGTTGTCTTAAATTACTCTTTTTCTTCTCCAAATGGCCTGTAATTATGTCTTAAAAACATGTAATAGCCTTCTGAAGTAATGAAACTACTCTCCCTGCCTAAAAATTGCATGTTTATGCAAAGTGTCAAGGCAAGGAATGCATGTCATCTTTCTGAAGGTACATGATGAGTGAAGGCTAAATAGTCTTAAGTATTAGATACTTTTGAGCTGAATGTTGTTCAATGAAATGATTATTACAAAGAACCATAAAAGGTTGATAAAATCAGGCAATTTTTAGGCAATAATTAAGTCCCACAAAAAGGATATGTTCCTTTAATTTTTTTTTTTACATTTCTACACAACATGATGTACCATCAACTTTTGTACTATAAAATAATCCACACATAAAAAGGAAACAAAACATTGCTTGATTGATTTATATTAGTAGTAAGGCAAGCACATGGGAATATATGCCCTAGTCTGGTGTCAAAAGTTAGGACCTTTAAAAATAGGTCAGCGTGACCAATTCAAAAAGTCTCCCTTTAAAAAAAAAAAAAAAAAAAAAAAAAAAAATGTGCTCCTATCATACGCCTTTTTATTTTATTGTTTTCAAAAAAATTATGCCACATAAGGGTCATCTCCAAAATACACCCGCACGAAAAATGCAGTAGTATCAAAGTAGCAAAGAAGCATTAATGCAGTAGTGGTGTGGAGCATATTTGCAGTAGAAATGCAGTATAGCCTACTGCAATTCTACTCCAAAAAGTACATAGGTTTGTACAGAGAGGAGCATCAATGCAGTAGATTAGCAGCACGATAGAAGCATGTTTCAAATATGCTAATTTGCTCCCAAATCGAATCAGATTTGAGGCATGTTTGCAGTATGATTGCAGTAGCCTACTGCGCTGGAGTATCTACTGCGTTTTTCATGTGGGCAGCAATGAAAATTAAAGAGGTACCTGATAACAGGAGTGAAACACATGTACATATAAATCAGAATTAGCACTAATCTTGATCATATTTAAGGTCTGACTTACATGCTTAATGGAAAGAAAATAAATGGTTTGCTACCTGGATACACTGCTACGGAGATGCACAGATATGAAACCTACTGAAGCAAAAATGGTACGTCTAGTTCTACAAACTTCACGCCTTCCTAAGGCATAAGTGTACTTTAATATAGCTCAGTTCAGCCTTCAGTATAAGTATGCTTTGTGTATATAATAATAACCATACAAAAAGATGAAACAGAAAACTTAATACTCTGAAGAAAAAGAGAAGGGTTGGATGTGAAACACATACCAATTACCAAAAAAAAAAAAAAAAAAAAAAAAAAAAAAATTGTTAATATTTTATCGAAACAAAGATTTTACGTTATGAAATTCAGTGCAGCTCTCCAAGACAAAGGCCTGTGCAGATAGTTTTTTTTTTGTGTTACTAGTTGTTTCAAGCATAACAAAGCTTATATTCAAGTTTCCACAACCAATGCAAGAAAAGCTACACCCCATGCCCGTGTCCCCCTAGTGGTGAGTATCTGACCTGTTCCACACTGATCCTGTGGTCAAGCTCTTCTCGCTCTGGAGATTTGCGGAGAGGAGGGACAGGTGGAAAGCATGACTCTATCAAACCAGGCTGCAGAAGGAAATATAATGGAAACCACATTAGCTTCCAAACAGGGAAGAAAAAACAGGCAAATATAACCTGGCAAAGAGTGACAATTGTGTCAAACAAAAATGTACTCAGTAGACTTGACAACAAATAATTTAGGCACAAAATTAAAGGGATTTGATCAACTAAGCAAATAACATAGGATTTTGAAAATAAAAGGGGCAAAAAAGATGACCAACCTGACCAAACTGAATAAAAACGCTTTAGAGTTAAATGATAGTAGCACAAAAATTGAGGTAGGCAAGTCAGAAACTTCTGATTGTTGGGCAGCTAGACTTTATAGAATTCTTGGTAAGAATGCCAAGTTATATGTGAGATATTGAAAAAAAATACAAAATATGGGGAAGGAATATTTTTCATTTGGTCCTCATTTTTTTTTTTACTTTACCCAACCCTTCTCTTTATTACTAGAAAGTGTTGTTGTTGCAATCAAAATCTAAATGAAAATTAAGTACTTTAGCACTATTTGGGAAAACATGTAATATGCATAGAAGCACAAGCCAGCTTAATGAAAACAGAAAATAACCAAGACCAACAGCAATTCTAATGTGTAAGCCATATTTTATATTGTGTGGATATGTGACACTACCAGCCTTCATGCTAAAAATGTGCATGTAACCCTGATGTGCATTGAAGATGCTTGTCCTTTTTATCTTATAATGATATTTATCTCAATGCTCCTTGAAAGGAGACTTCCACAACAAGCTACTGATAATTTCAAATATGTAGCACTAGAGTAGAAAATTAAAAATAATAACCTGATTCTTCTACTATCTGCTAAACTAATGAAACTTTTAAAGCATAACCTGATTTCACCTGTGACTTTGGGCCCCAAAAGGGCTATGTACATAATCATTAGACAATTCATAGCGTATTCCAATTTCTACATCTTAGAACATAATTTGAGCTCATCAGTTTTGGAAAATGTTCAAAACTCTTTCTTCAAAAAATAAAGAGAATACAGTTATTGTTTTTACTTTTAACTACATGTAGAAAAAAACTTACTTTGACCAACATATCCTCTGCATCCTTTGTGGCATTAATATACAAAACTTAATGATAAGATATGCTCTTAATGATAATCTGTCATGATATTTGTTCAAGGATGTAATATGCAGTTTGCCTATTAATTCAAGCTCTTTTTTTTTTAAAAGTATTTTTGGGTATTTATTCAGCAAAGCATTACTGAGGTTGACTGTTAATTAACATGCACATTTTCAATTTAACACTTGTTAACAAACAATTTTCTGTGAATATGCAACATAAAGCTGACTGGTCACAGACAAAACTTTCTACATCTAACAAAACAAGAAAGAGTGCATAAAAACATATTCTGTATTTTCAAAACCAAACTCTTGGGGGAAACAGGATTTCTTAAATCAATAGCCAAATATAATTTTCAGCATTAAACCAAATCATACACAGAACACTTCAAGTAACAGAACCTAAAATCGCAAATAAATGCACTATCCAAAGTGAAATATCACGGCTTCATGGTGTCAACAACCTAACAGAAACTTAAGAATACATAGCACTTGTCAATTAAATAAATAAATAAATAAATAAATATAATAATACACTATTCCTGACACACAAGTATCTTCCTACATGTTAACATGCATTTGTACATTAAAAGAGTACTGTCCGATACCAGGAAATAACATTAATTTAGTTTTAAGTAATGAGAGTTACTTGGACTGAATAACATACTTTACTAAAGAAAAAAAATCAGAAGCAACAAAATCATTAAAGTTAAATATTTAAAAAAATCTTTTCTTCATGTTTAATTGAGGTTATTCCTGATGTACATTCTTACATAAAGCTTTAAAATCCTAAGTGAAAAAAGCCAGAAATCGATTCACAACTTTTTGTCCATTTTTTGTATCAAGGTGAGTTTACCAAGAAATCTATTACATAAATCTGATTCCAATTCCCTCTTGTATCAGACAGAATTAAATAAGATTTACCCTAATAGTAAATCAATTTGGATCAGCATTTTATTTTTGGCCCCTGGTATGATAATCCAATAACCATCTAGACTGTAAACAATATATTGAAACAGAATAAATAATAAATGAGAAGCCCAGACAGTTCCAGCTTTATACAGCTCTGTTTAAAGTGTTATTTGTCAAACACCTCAATGAACTTTCCAGGGCATTTTACACACTGACATGTTTGTATACCAACACCAGAAAGTAGTAAAGAGTTCTTAACAATTTTTAAAATAATCTGCTTCATATACATGAGAAGCAAATGTATGTGAATATACATCTAACACATGAATATACACTGGTATCAAACAGTACATGATAAAAGAAGGGAGTGCACATTACAAGCCACATTCAAAGCACACCTGAGGAGTCATATTGGGATTAAACTGGAAGAAAGAGCAGAAATAGAGTCATTAGCAACATTGTATGAAGTCAGTAATTCTCTGCCCTTATATATATATACCCATTACAATGATCACATAAACAAAAAAACAAACAAAAAGTGTAAAGAATCTATGGCACTAATTGGGCTTTTTTCCTAGTATATGCCGAAAGTGTGCTATACGTGATCAATTTAGCTGTGCTAGGATAAGATTGTGTTAGTTGTTCTGTGTTCCTGTTAGCTATGCTGTGATTGCATTAGTTGTGATAATATTGGAAAATGCTAGATGTTCCATGATATTTTAAGATATGCTGAGGATTAGCTACAAATCTAACATAAAGAAATAAGTAAAAGGATGGCTGCATGCAGAAAAAGCTCTGAAAACAGCTGAACATTCACACACCAAAATTGATAAGAAAGGAAATATCATAAAAAGTTAAACACTCCTAATCAAATGTTTAACTTAAGAAGAAAAATTATGGGCTAATTCAAGCCGGCTTTACTACTTAAACTTCCCATGTTAAGAAAGCTACATTTTTCAAAACCACTCCCAACAAAAGAGGAACCTACATCTAATCAAAACAAACAAAATAAATAAATAAATAATTAAATAAATAAAATAAAAATTTGAACAATAATTTCTTCCACAATTTCATATAATCTTTATATATTATTTCAGGTAACAATTGTACACAGAAAAACCAAACACAAATATAGCCTAATTGATCAATTACGGTTGTCAAATCTGAACACATTTTAATAACCAAGACTAACCTAACCTTGATATCTATCAAAAAATGTGCAAGTTAAAATTATACATTAAAAAAAATCCTTAACCAAACTGATAAACGTTTTAATTAAAATATCAGTAACACTTGCAAGACAATATTTTGCAATATTGATACTTTAACTCAACTCAAACAACTGCCTTGAGCTCATGTTCATGCATCTGGATAGCAGGCAGCACAGCAATATGAATACAATATTCAAATATTCAACAACCAGCAATTAGGGTAACTGACAGACTTCACAACTAATGGGTAAGATATACAGAGTTACACATAATGACATAATATGACCACTTAAAATTCACCCCCTTCAGTTTTTTCTTTAAATAATTCAGTGTTTATTAACCCCCCCCCCTCCCTCAAAAGTCTGTCACCATCTTGTTCTTGCTGATACTAACCTGCTGTTGGGCAGCTTGGGACCTTGCTTTCCTAACACGACTCTTGGCAGCATCCAGGTCCAATCTTTTGGTTTCCAGTAACTTGCGTTCTTTCTGCAAAAGAACAGATATACAATAACACTTTACTTTCTTTTCTTCTGATATAAAATTCTGTCAAATGTTGTTTCAGTCATGTTAGATGTGATATCTTTCCAGTGAGAACTTTGAGCAAGTTGTGATGGAGTTGGTTGTTTTTCCATCTGTAAAGTCTTCCAGACTACTGTAAAAGATACAGCAAGTGTTTGGATGTTTGGACGCAATCAGCAGTGCTCAATTTGAGTAGACAGTAACGACGTTTTAATTCTGTCAGCTATTATTAAGTTGAAGATAAATGTAATTTATTGAATCTAACCTGAATAGTTTTCATGTCTCCCTCTAGGAAGTTCTTCAGTGGTGTCAGGAAGTTGTTGGCAGAAGTGGACACAAAATCCTTCTCAGCCTGGCCAAGACGCTGTTGTGTTTGACCACATTTCACCAGCGAGTTCCCTAGAAATGACAGAATAATAAAATATGACACTGAAACATAAAAACACACCAGTTCAAAAATAAGCTTGCATTGTTCAAAAGTCTGAGATTGGTATTGTTCAAGATTGGTGTGAAGTCTTGTGAATATTTCTATTTAGTTGCATATTGGTACATTTCTTAATATAGTTAAAACCCTAAACAAGTTTGCCTCACTTGCAGAGAATAAGAAAACTTGAGGTCTACCGCATATTTCACATACAGGCCAGCAATTTTAGAGTGTGTGTGGGGGGGGGGAGGGGGGGGTTCGTTTTCTGAAAACGTGGACCTTTTACCATAAAATCCTCTAGTACATAGAACAAAGTGTACCTAGAGTGGACCTTTTCCCAGCAAAATGGGTGGTTCTTTCGAACCCCCCGAACCCCCCCTGGCTACGGGCCTGACATACAAGTGTTAAAAATTACCTGAAAAAAGGATTTATCTACTTATACAAAGAAAGCATTTTAATTCTTATGGAAAATTTTGTTATTTGACAGAAAGCCAAATTTCTCCGAGTGACCAAAACTAACTTTTGAATTCCTTACTCACTCCCTCTATTTTTATTTCATATAAACCATTTTCATTTGTCTAAATTTGGAAAAACATCCATCCAATTTTCCCTCAGTGGGGCTTGAATATAAAATATCCAATAGGAAAAAGAATTGTCTGTTCCATGCTCAAACATAACCACTTCAGAAACTATCATGCAGATAAATTCTATGCTTTATGAGGGAGGTCTGCAAGAAGATACATCTACAGATCAATATTACAGCAATTGAAAACCTTTCAAGATGACTTTAAACTTATTCTAGACACAACTAATCAAATTATTCCAGAGTATTTCACTTCATGTACCAATAATTTCTGTGCTATAGAAATGAAGTAGCTGGTATTCAATTAAATATGAATTTATTTATAAGTTGTCTGTTAACAATAATGTTCTGTGTGACAATTGTTTCAGTGAGAGAAATGATGTAAGTTTACAAATCAATCTTTTCAAGTGAACTTATATTGTTCTTCATAAAAACAATGACATATATATTTGTCTATCCTTTAAGTATACTGAATTTTTTATGGTCATAAATAATTGGCAGTTTTACACACAAACAAAATGGAGTTCTTAACAAAACAAGATGAGGCATAAAACAGGTACTCAGGCTTTTCATGAAAATCTCATGGAACCATCACTTCACTGGCATTTTCCAAGAAATCAATAGTCACTGACATCCTGCATTCTAAACTTGCGTAGGCCTTCTTCTATCAATTCTCTTTGGCTATTTCTAAGAAACTCAATTTAATGATGTCTGTAGAGAATCTGACATTTGAACAGTTCCAGATAAACAGTACCTATTAAATAAACATTCACTGAAATATTGAAACTTACTGCACCAAGTAAAGAGTTCGGCGTATCAAAAAAGGCCCATTAACAGTATTACTCTCATTTATGACAGCTTTCTAATGAAACCCCAGTGGCTTTGTGCTTTTTTTTTTTTTGGCCCTCTCCACTTCATAGGAAAATCATTAGTTCTGTCCTCTACAAAATTTATACTGTCAATGATCTACACTATGGATCTTTACTTCAAGCTTAGGAATTAGTACATTTCTGGATGAAGACAAAAATATTTTATAGACTACTCTTGTGGGCACTTGGGTCTTTTTGAAAAATGCAGACATGCTGCATAAATATACCCTTTGAAAGAAATGATATTGAAGAATTATAATAATTTTATAAATATGACTATATTAAAAACAAAAGCAAAACCTTTTTATCTATTGCTATAGACAGTTACCTGCTTTAAATGACTATTCAATGACTCGATACTTCAGTTGTTTCAACATCATGACTCAATAAAAAATACACATCTCACCTAAATGACTTGGAAAAAAAAAATGCCCCAACATTTAAAGTAAGCAGAAAGATGTTTATTACTGTTTCATGGTATTATCTGGTCTAGATGAGAGGATATTGATTATACCTCCATCGCTTTCTGTCTGAACAACCCATTTCACAGAGCACATTTCCTGGCTTGGGCAAGCCTCATGACTTGGGAATTACATTACAGTATCGATTCTCTGAACAAACATGATGATTTAAACAGGAAACAGCCATTCCTCTGAGCGGTGTATAATTTAATATGTGTCTTATGGTTCTGTTAACAAACCAGACTGTGCCAAGATGAAATCTTAGTGGTGCTCATTATCTTCATTAAACTTTCTTGTACGTCATTAATCTTATAATGAACACAAAGATGAACACAAAACTGTTACTCTGGATATGTCTAGATTTTGCCTTACTTTTTAGCATAAGGTCAGTATAAATTAGAACCAAGTAATGCATTCACTTTCATGAAAGGAAAAAAACCAAAACCTGGCCTCTTTTTAATGCAACACAAAGCATATGAATAAAAAAAATATAACCTTCCACAAAAGGACTAATAACTTTTTATTTTCAAAAAGGTCAATTCAATGTGAGTCATTAACTGTGACAGAAAACTAAAACAGGACGTTATATTTACGTAATATAAGACCTTTACCTGAAGAAAATATAGAATGTATGATGCACAAGTATATATTCAAACTGTCATGAATAATTTAATAGTGAATCATGCCTATCATCTCATTGTTGCAAATCATCTGTATAATTTTTTTTTTTCACAGAATTAAAAATGTCACTTAATATGTTGTGTTACATAGTGCTGAGAGGTATCAGGAGCATGGTTTTATATTATATATATACAGTTTATATTTACATAATAACTGCAAACGAAACCAAATTAATAACGGAAATTTGAAAGGAGAGGAATGATATTAAAGTAATGGTTGATTTCATATAGATAAAGCCATGAGATAAAAAATAATCTGACACCCACTTAATCTAAACAGAAGAATACAATTCCTCGGGTGACACAGTCTGCTATCAGTTTTCTAATGAAATAACGAGGAATAAGCAGACGAACTGAAAGTATTGCACTTGCCTTACGTAATTTTCACAGTCAGAATGTCAGTTATTAAAGGTACTTTTCCACAAATTTGTATATTAATTACAATAGTGCCCCTTTTCTGATGAACTTATATATCAATTCCCGTTTCATAGTCTCAAGGTCTCACTTCACACAGCCATTCCCTTGATTATATCTTTTACTCTCGGTGATATATTTACATCAGATTCTGTTCTTGATCCATAAAAATGTGTTGGAAAATGGGCAATAGTACCACATTTTAAGTATATCTATATTAAAAGCTGTAGGAATAGATGAGGCAAAAAGGTTTACTGAAGACATTATGGTTACAATCATAGAATGCACTGCCCAAAGAATTAAGATGTTTTGAAATAGAATCATTCAATCAATGAAGCCACTTTAATACCATGATGCATTCATGAGTTCTAGGAAAATTCTGGAACATGTTGCATTGATTATTTTTCAGCATCGCCACCTTCAAGATTTTGATTAATTCAAAGACTTGAAGATGATCTGTTTTATGCATGACTAACTTTTAATGCAACAAGAGCTGCAATGTTCAATGGAAATTGAATACTGTGAAAATATTTATCAGAGAGTCCTATTAGCAATTTCAGTTGTGTTATTTTAAATATTTTTTTGCAACACAGAAACAAAACACTTCCAGAC